GGACAACGGGCTGGAGGGGCTGGGCAACGACAGCCGAGACATGTACATGGAGTCCGAGGGGGGCGACGGCTATCTGGCGCCAGAGAACGGGTACTTGATGGAGCCTGCGCCGGAGTGAGGACGGCGTCTCCCCGCTCACCGGTTCGGACGTGTCCTGCCCACCCCTGCTGTCCTCTTCCCACCCGAGTTTGCCAGCCAAGGGTAGGAGTCTCTCATTTGTTCTGGTCCCTTGGATTTAAAAATAAAATTAATTTCCTGTTGATAATGGGCCCTTTGGTTTCTTCACTGCTCCTGTATCTTTTCCCTCAAGATTGTCACTTGCTCTCTTCTGGCCCGTTTTCCAGGGCCTGATTGACCTTGAGCTTTTATTTAGCTTTTCAGACTTCGTTTTGCATAGAGCCCCCGTTGGTGGCCCGACAGAGCAGCCAGGAGACAGACAGGAGAGGTCGCTGGCCAGGTGGGTCAGCTCCCTGGCCGGGGATCGAACTGCTGCTCCGTGGCTGCAGGTAGTTTCATAGTGCTGCACTGTAACGCCTCCACCACCAGGGAGGGCCGGAGGAGCCCCTTTTTCAGCGCCGCCTCAGTTCAGGCCGCATGGGGGGCGGGTCTAGGGAGACACTACTTTACTCAGGACGCTACCGTTGGATATGTGAAGGGGAAGCTGTTGTGTGACTTCAGGACCGCCGAAAAGGCCAAGGGAGTGAAGCCAGCACTCGAGAAGGCGAGTCGAGCAGGACCCGAGAGAGGCTGGCCGGAGGAAGACCCATAGTTCTCGAGTCGGAGACTCGCCGCTTGACGCTTAGACTAGCACGCCAGGGGAGAAGAGAGGGCCTGCGGGTGCGGGTTCCCGGGTTCTGGACAAAGGATGGAAGGTGGTGTAGGCGTCAGCTGGGTGCCTCACCACTTGAGAGGAGCGCCGTCCTCGCAGAACCCTAGACTCCGGGTGGACCCCGCGCAGGACTGCAGGCAGAGCTCAGAGCGGTGCCCTACCGCACTCAGGATGCTAGTTCTGTGCGTTTGCTGAGCAAACAAGTGTGAAACGCAATGTCGGGTGTCTGTCAAAGGCAGACTCGGCTTGGAGCCCAGAGGCAGGCAGGCAGCTCACCTGCCAGAGGATGCCGCCCAAATGCTGCCGTCCTAAGCACAAGAGCCCTGGGCACAGGCATTTGAGAAAATCCTGTGGAGACATCACAGAACAGAAACAGGCCCGAAAGAGACAGTCCGGGGAGGGAAGGAGAACTTGACACCTCTAGTGTCACACATGTCCCTGAGTGCCACCAGGCTGCTGGTGCCGAACGAAGAGTAGTCCCTTTGACTGGCCTAGCACAGAGCTGGACAAAGAGAAGCCACTTGTCAAGGCCAGTGGGAAACAACCAGTGGAGGCCAGACTTGGGCCTAGCAGCTACGGCTTCCCTCTGCTCTTGTTGCCTCCCTCCTGGGCATTAGTTTACTTGCATGGGTTAGGGTTCTCCCTCCTGGCTGAATTCAAACGTGGGGTCAGCTGGAGTGTGTACAATTCCCACAGGGCCTTTGAGCCCCCAAATCCACGTGCAGTATTCTCAAGGCATTTGCCAGCTCCGGCTGGTCTCAGGCAGCAAATAGGAGGCTGAGGAGGTGTACACCCCTGTGGTTCTGGGGGACAGGTTGAGGGCCACAGCACTGGAAGGCCACCGAGAGCCAGGCCAGGCCTCCTAGGCCCCGCTGACCTGCCTGCCGAGAGGGAACAGCCGGTTTGGAGAAAGATGCCTTCAGAACCGACGGCGCACGTGTCGCTTGCAGTCTGCTCGTCTGTATCAGGTATGCTAGGAGGAGGACCTGAATTACTTGAGGGACTTGTTCACAAGGAGAATTTTAACTTTTGAAGTCATAAAGTTCAAATAGAAAATTTAAACTGGAAAACATTACATGTTTTTGTAATTGATTAGACACTAGAGGCCAACCCCCTGTTAGATACGCTACGGGGAAAAAGTTGGGTAAACTTTTGTGAAAGAACTCACATTCTGGAGAAGTTAAGACAGGCTTCACCAAAGTGAGGGCTCTAAAAAAGGTAAACGTTCAGCAGAGGGAAGACCCTGGATGGCAGTTTCTAGAGAGCAGGTAGTGCAGGTGGGCTTCAGAGGAGTGAAGTTCCAAGAAGGTTGAGGATAATAAGATAACAAACATGGGCCCTCCCTGGTGGCACAACGGGTTAGGACTAAGCACTGCCAGATGGCCGCAGCCGCCTCATTGTGAGTTCGAGCCCCAGCCTGAGGTGACCACATGGCGCGGCAGACCTCTCCTCACCTGCCCGCTGCTCCCCTCAGCAGTGGACTTCATTGATCTGCCTGTTCTGCTCCCCGTTCTCTCTGGTGAAGCCTCTCACCGCCCCTGCACCTCTGGCTTGTTCTGTATGAATAAATAAATCTTTGAAAAAAAAAAAAGAAAGATCACAAACAGTATCTGTTACGATGGAGAGTTGGAAAGCTATTGAGAATGTGATGGAAAAAAACAGAAGCCACGGGGCAAAAATATAAGCTGTTTGAGAAGGGAAATCTAATCCAGAACACTGTGTTCTAGAATAAACACTGTGTCCTTAGACATAATGGAGCATTTTATTGCTTGACCTAAGCAGGGAGAGGGGCGTGAGTAGATCAATGGGATGCGTGGAACGGCTGACATCTGGCACTGGGAAGTGGAGAGAGCCTGTCCGCGCAGAAGCAGGTAGGGATCCCGCGGCAGGGTGGGGAGAGGGGTGGAGGTGAGACAGCCGAGGCCGGACTTTCTCTTATGCCTTCTGTATTCATTTCTTCTTTACATATCTTTCATTAAAGAAGAGAACTAATACTGTGAAGGACAGGGATGGACGAAGTTGCTCTGGTGAAGGAACCCCATAGCCCCATCCAGCTGAACCCAAAGGAAGTGGGGCACGGCCAGGCCTCCCCAGTCTTGCTCCATTTCTCCGGCCTCTGGGGCATTTGATACCATTCCACCTCCCTTTAAAAAACAAACCTCTCATGTTTTTCCCCAGCTCACTGTCCTCCTAATTGTCTGGTCTTTTGTTTTCTTCCTGACTTTTGCATACTAGGGATTTGGGGGATTGGATCCTAGGTCCTCTCCCTGCCATGTTCTCTCGCCCCCAGCACTTTTGTCCACTTCCACGGTTTCATAAACCACCTTTGCCCAAATTAAAACTGCTTGGGAGGGAGGCGCTTCTAGATATCTCCTCTTGCGTACTGCAGTCTCCTCAAATTCAAAATACCCCAAAATCCCTCCTCTAGTACAGAGCCTCTTAGCAGTAAAACCGCAAGCCCCTCCACACCCCCTCTCCACTTCTGCACGCTCTCACTTGTGCGGAAATGCACACTTCCGCCAGCCATCTTTCAGCCCTCTGCCTAGGCCCCGTCACCACCAGCGCTACAAGGACAGTCTCCCAACCAGCCCACCTGCTCCTGCTCCTGTCCTGCTCACAAGCCACAGTGATTTAGAAATACAAATTTAGGGTCCTCCCCGGTGGCGAAACGGGTTAAAGCACAGCACTGTGAAGCTTTTGGCAACCGCTGCAGCAGGAGTCCAATCCCTGGCCAGGGAGGGACCCACAGGGCACAGCAGACCTCTCTTGTCTTCCACTGCTCCCCTCAGCAGTGTACTTCCTCAACTGCCTGTTCTGCTCCCCCCTCTGTCTCGGGTGAATCCTCTCACCCCCTAACTGGCACCTCTGGCCTACATCCCAGCTCTTGTAAGCATAAATTTTTTTTTTAAATAAATGAAAATACAAGTTGGACTTTAATGTATTACTCTTAGGAGCTACCATGAAATCCAAAATCCTTACCTACCTATGCCAACTCAGAAGACCCTGCTTAAGGTGAATCCCGCCAAGTTTTCGCCCCTTAACATTCCAGTCCTCACTGCTGTCCAGCCATGGTGGGGGGGTGCTCTGTCTGCCTGGAAAGTGACCCAGGCAAGCCCCGACCTCTGACCTCGCCGCCAGTGAAGGGCTCTAGGTCGGTGTCACTCCGCACTCCGACTCCTAGCACAGTCGTCGTGGCTGACCTCCGCCTTTCCTCCCGCACAGACTAAGCTCGGTGTGGGCCTGTGAGGGCCGTGCTTTGTAAAACCACTGGGCTCACCACCCTGCCATCGCCTTGGGCCTAATGTACGTTTGTCCAATGAATGGGGAAAGGGGCAGGAGGCTAAACCGCTGTGGCGGGCCGGACAGCCTGCGTGGCAGGAGGTGCTGACCTAGGCTGTCACCGGAGCGTTCGCGGAAAGGACAGCGGGCAGGGGCGGGGGGCCGGGCCGGCAAGGCTGGGGGCG